CGGGGCGGCCTCGCCCGCCGCACTTGACCCGCCCGCGGCTGAAGCCATGAAAGTTGCGGCGGCGCCGAGCGAGAGGGGACTCCTTGGCGAGGCGTCTGTTTCGGATGTTTTTTCTCTGCGCAGATCCCTTCTTTCCTCCTCCTCCGGGTAAGTGGAATCGGTCTGTAAATAACCAAAGGGTAGCGCTGACAGTGAGAAAGGAGATTATAGCGGACAAGAGGCTCCTGTTTTTTTTTTTTTTTTCTTTTTTTTCTTTTGGGTTAGACCTCCTCCCTGAAGTCCATTCCCAATAATGCAGTTTAGGAAGAGCCGGGTTTGCTTTCAGGCGCAGGAGGAAGGAGGGTGCTGCGATTTATTTACTTATTTTCAGTGGACTCTTCTCTCCGCCCCCCAACTTGTCTTTAAACACACCTGAGCAGGGAAAGTAAAAGAGGAGGAGGTGAGACCAGCCCCAGAGGTCAAAGGCTCAGAGAAGGAAAAGGGGGAGAGGTATCCAGGGGTTCAGCAGGGAGATGATCTATGGCCAGTAACTGGCGCAAGGCTTTGACTCAGACCTGCTAGCGGCTCTAGACCCCCAACCAATAACATCCCCTACCCGCGCCCCCCAGCTCACTGCGACTGCTCTGCTGTAGCCGTTCTGGGAGTCTTTCAGCACCCAGGGACTAAAACAACTTATAGGGAGGACCTGCACACTGGATGCTCAATAAATGTTTGTTGATTGGCTGAGTGGTGATGCATCTTAAGGCTATGTTTGGCACCACAGAAATCTGACTTGTGCAGTGAACTTATTCCCTAATATTGACTCCAGAATGCAAAGATAGCCCAATTTATTTTGCCAAGAAGCAGGGGCTGGAGCCCTGGGTCATATAACATTTAGCCCTTCAGTACTCAAAGGAACCCATCTGACAACTTCGTGGTGAGACTGACGGGGCCAGGGACCAGGTGAGCTCACAAAGTGCTGGCACAGAGGTATGGGCCTTTGGACGGGTAAACTTGGGTTTGAATCTCCGTGTCGTGACCTTGGGAATGCTTCTTTAGCCTCCTGAGCCTTGGTCTTCTCCTCTGTAAAAGGAAATCAGTGGGAGAGTCCCAGAGAGACGTAGGAAAGACGAACAGAGGGAATCAGAAGGCGAAAGGGTGTCTGGTAAATTCAGGGTTGCCTACCCAACCTCGCAGGATGCGGGAGACTGCCCGTGTAACCATCGCATACAGTGCGTGGGTGAGAGCCCAGCCATCCCGAGCAGTTCCGGAGGACAGGACAGAGTGAGGCCTGGAGGAGCTTCTTAGGAAGGGGCTTGCGTTGGCCTTGGGGGCAGAATTTCCATACACACAGGTCTCTGAGGGGGCACCGTAGGAGAAGCAGAAATCCCCTTGACCTTATTTCCCAGTCCCTGCATTCTCCCAGTCCTTCCAGCAGAGGAGGGAAAGCGTGGCAGCACAGTTCAGGCAAGGCAGCTCGGCAGCACCTGGGGCAAGCCACCAAAGGCCTTCGGAGTTAGGTTAGCACCACAGGCTTGGGGCCGGGTTGACCCAAACCTTGTCTCAGGGATCCAGCCCCCCAGCCCGGGTTGCCTTAGTGACACAGCGCTTACCAACCTTTCCACAGACCCCAGTGGACCTCCAAGAATCTTGTGCCTCGACCTAGAGACCTCAAGTAATAGTGGGGGATGGGTGAGAGAAAGGCACTGCTGACTGAAGGCTTCCCCAGAAGCCTCAAGGTGCCTTCGAGTAGTCTGCAGTCTAGACAGCAACTGCAAGAATGTGGGCTGTAGGACCACAATCTGGTGGGGGGCGGAAGGTGGGGGTGGTGGCGGCAGTCACTTCTGTTTGATAAGACAAGGCCATAACAATCCACCAGGAACTTCTAACACTAGGTAGTAATTCTTATGAAGGAAAGGTCCCCGGCTCTCATTTTCGGCCATATGGCCAGCAGCGAGTATGATGACGGCACACATTAGGGCCAAATACATGTATACGGTGAAGGTACAGTGAATTTTATCTGTAAGTCGGACTATGGTCTTAAGAAACTTCCTATCCACCACTACTGCATGCAATTCGTACCTCCATTTAGCAAATGTTTCTTGAGCAATTACTACGTGGGGAGCTCCGTTGCTAGGCTTCCTAGGGAATTTGTAAGCATCATTCATTCATGTTGATACTTCAGCGGCCCATGGAAGAGCACCTCCGCACTGTTCTGGCTTTTCTGCAGGCCAAAGCCTGAGCAAAACCCCTGTGGGCTTTCCGGCAGGGGCAGGGAGAGTGGGCATCAGGGCCGTGCCCCGGGTTTAGCTGCTCTCTGGTACCACGGCTGAGGTCTCTTCCGCCCGCTGGTGTTCGTCCCCGGGGCCCCGGTTTTGGAGACTCCAGCCTTGGGAACCCCGCTTTCCTCCAGGGCTGCAGCGCGTCTCTCCAACCCCCTTCCCAGCCTCCCAGCAGGCGCCCCAGTCGGGCTGCAGGTAGCTGGGGAAGGGACCAGGCTGCGCCTGGGGAGCGAGCTTCCCGGGTGGGCAGACCGCAGCCGCGCGGAGCTGGGCCAGAACAAAAGGCTCATGGCTGGCACCGGTCTCCTCGGAGTGCGGTGCGGACGGGGGTTCGAGCTCAGGCGGGAGAACCAGGCGCGGGAAGGCACTGGAGTCAAAAAATGAAGTGACAAAGGACGAGGGGCAGGAGGCGCCCAGGGTGGGAGCCGGGAGAGGAGGTCACCCCCGAGGCCGAGGGCTGCGGCGGGCCCGCGCGGCCCTTCCTCCGCCTCCCGCAGAGCCTTCCAGGCAGCCAAGCGTGTCTCCGGCTGCAA